GGTCCAGATGAGTCTGCGGGGTGACTAAAGAGTCATTAGCCTTGGCCAACTCATGAAGTGGGGAGGGTATTCCCACTTCACCATGAGTAGAAGCAACTAAAACTTCCACCGGCCCCACGTGTTTCCCGAGCTAGAAGCCCGGGAAGAAGGCACCCCTCCCTTAGGGGTATCTTCTGCATGACCTTCGCATTCTTGCACTTATGCTGGGTGTGCTCATTCTCACCTAGTTAATGCAAGCTCCATGCGAACGGCGGTCCCGCCACACTAATCTAAGCCAACCTTAACCCAATCATCAACTTTGGATTGATTGGAGGCGGCCTGCCCTTGACTCTTTTGATGGCCCTTCCCTTGGCCACCCGCCTTAGCCTTTTAATACCGCGGCAAGGGTGCTACCCTCAGCATGGTCCTCACCGTCATCCTCTGGTGTGTCCATCATGTAAGAAAGGTCATTGACCTCATCATTCGTCTACACTTCTTCTTCCACTCCTGTGGACTCTCCTTTCTTCTTCCGTCTACTGAAGTGTGATATGCCAACTGTGTTCTCAGACTCTCAGGGAGAAACAGCGAATGTCTGGGACAACAATGATATTCTCAACGGTAGTCGTAAACTCCCTGACTGATTGTGCCAGCGAGCTTCTACCCTGTCGATGAACTCTTCTAAAAATAGGGTCTTACCCCATTCTCCTATGCGTCGTCCATCTCCGGCTTTCGCTATGAACACACGAAGTCAATTTGTTGCTCTACCTTCAATGTAAGAGGCAGTCATTATCACTTCCTCCTCCTGCAAGGTCCTCTTGGCCCTCACCCACATCGGGACCGATCTCAACCTGAGATTGAGATCCTCCTCCTTCTTTTCACCTGTGTAAGGAAGGGGAACCCTCTTCGGGGTCTTTGAGAACAAGGAACTTGCCGTTGTTCCTGTGGTGGAACAGGTTGTTGTGGCGGTGATTTAGTAGATGTCACCGCCTGACTAGAAGAAGAAGAAGCTACAGTCTATGTTGCTGCTGTTGACGAACCGCTTGGTTGTGTGCCAGCTTGGGGATAGATGCCTATCACTGCCATCTTAGGGAGTGGCGATCTATAAACTGCGAGCAGCCTAGAGCTTAGCTGCTGCAATTGAGTCAATGTCTAATCCAAGGTGTCTTGCATGAAGTCCATTCTGCTGACTACGCGTGCGTGTAGTGAGAGCAAACCAGACCTCAACACCTTCATTGGGTCAAACAACGCTGCCTCATCCGTTGCCTCTAACGCAGTTTTGTCGGCCTCTACTCTCTCCAACCTGACTATCCTATCTCTCTTTCTCTCTGTGGTTTCCTGAAGTTCCCTCACTAGCCGTGCACGGATCATTTCGACTTGCTGGAGTTCCCTCAACTCCAGCTGGCGTGGGGTCAACGGGCTTAACCGCGAGCCCGCCATTTGACTGGTGGAGATAATAGAAACTACGGTACTAGAGATGCCCGTGGACCAGGTGAGCATTCCCAACTGTGTCCGAGACGAGGTCCCAAACGAGAGGGCGGCATTTGATGCTGCTGCGGTAGCCATTGCAGCTGCGGCGGCCTGTCTAGGTGCTACGTTAGCTGCTGCTACCAGCTGTGCAACTTCTCTTGCTGTTCTCTCGGCCACTGCTCGTTCACGAGCTCTTGCTCTGGCCTTAAGCCGTTGCTTAACTCCGGTACCTAGGATCTATTACACGAACGGAACTCTCTTTAGTTTCGACCGTGAGTCTCTCACCATCAACTCTACCCTCATCGCTGTCTGACCCACTCAACAGCTATGCAAACAGTATCTGCACCACAACTCCCTAGTGGAGTCCTACCACAGCTTGTGTCTGACCGGCTCTAAATTTTCTAAAAATAAAATAGGAGTCCGGCAGGTTACTTCACCACTGACAAGCGATCGTCAAACAATATTCACATAGAATGATACAGAAGAATCGTGAGTCAATGTCCAAGCCCAACAGGGCAACACCAACAGCATAACCCAATGTAGCTCTCTCTTGTGAATGGTGTCAGGTGCCCTATCTACTCTACAGCCTAAGCCTACGACTACAGCAATGAAAGCAACCAGACAACTTGACGACCAGCGAGTGATGATGTCAACTCCAATGCCGACCTCCACCTCCACCAGGTACGTCTCCTCTCTTCACCCTCACTCTCCCTTGTTATCCCACACAGCGCCCTTCACCTCCGAAGAACCACCTTCGCCCTTCACCCTTTGCGCACACAGGCAGCCCGGCTATGGCCGCCAGCGCCCTGCACCGACAGGCAGCGCCCTACCGCCTAGCGCTGTCCTGCTCCCCTCAGCCTTAGCGCAGCGCAGCATGCATGCAACGCAGCAGCGTGCCGACCTTGCTCGCAATGGCCAAGATCCCTGCCCACTTGCCCTGCTTGCCTATATGCCAGTGTTGCGTGTGGGCGGCCTCCCTTCAGCCTGCGCCTGGGCCCCAGTACCTGAACCCAGGCCCGATGCGCCTGGGGCCCGGGAGATGCAGTTGCGCCTTTTTCATCAAGGCCTGCGGCCAGATTCAGATAGTGAGCCGGTTTCCCATTGGCATTTTCGGCCTCTATATCCAGCATGCATTGTCGGCCTCACGTTTATGTGCCCAGGGCCTAACCAACTCAGGGGCCCTG